TGACTTTACCTAAAGAACCAAGAATATGAATCCCTGCAGTCACGAATGCGTTAAATCGAGATTGGACACTCGTATGGTTAATTTGGTTGTCAGCTAAACCTACCTCCTGTCGGTGAATATTTGCTACGTTTTTAGAAATGAACAAATTAACCTAGTTTTGAATGAATATTTTAATAGTCTGTGTGACCTTACCAATTGTTATGCCCTCACATATAAGGAAGGGGCTAATATTGAGCAAGTTTGTCCCAAGAGTCTGGCTTTATCGTTAATTTTTTTCCTAGACTCTAGGTCGAGAGTTCCACTGTTTACAAATCTGGAAGATACAAATGGCAGTAAATGTTCTTGAGGCCTTGAGACCCCATACCTATAAATACGAAACTTCCTGAAACCCTGGCATTGATTAACGTGATAATTCAAATGATAAGGCTGGACAGAATGAATGAAAAATGGCAATTAAGGTACTTTAAATCCATCACAATACAGGCAACTTACCAGTAATGATGATGTATGGTGCAGTGTATTTGTGTTCGCTCAGACCACCGACACACGCTTTCCCTGCAGATGTACACTTACGTAGTGCAAGAAATAGCCAGCTAGTTAGATAATTAGGACGTCCTTACTTGTCCTGTGATCAGAATGGAACGCAGTAGCTCATCACAGCGATGGAGAAATGGGTGGTACAAAAAGCCCCACAGTAAGTCATTTATATGGGACATAACAAACTCGTTATGCATATATGCGGCACATTGTGCGTGCAGAGCACGTACATAGAAGAAGAAGAACTCAAATCTGTGTCTCCACAAAACAATGATGCGTCAGTCCATCAGCCTGTTGGCTTTCCAGAGTAATATTATCCAACGGCATTTGGTTAAGCGAGCAAAACACTGGGCGCGTCGCTTAATCGAATACGACTGCGGGATAATGCTGGGCATGAAATCCAATTGCCTGTTTGGGCAACCGTTATTTATTTATTTACTTCTATGCGGAGACCAAAAAAAAACTAATTCGATTTAAACAGGATGGTGTGCCACGTGGACAACGCACGTGTAACAGCGCATCGGTCATTCCAGCCAAGTACCGTTTACAACACTATTAGGACGCTAAATAACATTTTCACTTAATTAAGGTAAACTTTTTCCTCCCTGAAGATATGATGGGGATCCACGCGTTGCTTATGCCCATGCCAAATTAATCAGCATTGTTTGGCTGGGAAATGACTGTTGTGGATATTCAGTATATTCCTCCACAATTCCTAGAGATCGTAAATACTTTGCTCACACGTGCTCGCCACCGCGTGCCTGTGCCATCACTATTGTGAATCCATTCACTCGAGAAGGCCATGTGTGTGTCTGTACATGACATCACTAGTCCATTCATTGCACCGCATTCATTTGCAGTTGCATTGAAATAAACCAGCCCTTCTCTCTGTACTGCTAAAAGTTTTTCTTGTATTGGTTGGTATATATAAAAACCACAATTCTCGAACTGTCTGCTAAAGCCTTCTCGTTGATAGCAAACCTTGACATTGGCATTCAGAGCCTTAACATACGCAAGGATAGAATAGCTGCAATCATAAATGTCAACGCCCCTCTTACTTCATCACTCCAGCTTACCTTCAAGTGGTTAGGGATCAATCTTGATTTGAATCTTTCGTGACTGCAGGAATCCATACTCTTTGTATCTTTCGGTAAAGTCACGTAGTTAGAAATAAAATAAAACAAATCACGACGTTTCGATCGCAACGCAAGTGGTCATCACCGCCTGATTTCTAATAAATGGTTAATAGGCTATGTGTTTAGTATTCGATATTGGTGTAGAAATGCATCGATTCACCAATTATTATCGGTTAGGGGTTGTTCGGGGGCGTCTTTGGCGCCCCTCACAACCATTTACGGCCTTCGATTGAGAGCAGGCTTCACACGAACGATGCATTCACACAAGCACCGAATGCTCCGTTTTGAAGTTTTAAAATGAAACATCTTAGAATTGTATTGTTTTTAATTAGATAATTGTATTTCTTCATCAAAAGCTTAAATCATTTTACATCTGGAAGACTTAATTGAAAACGACATTTCGCGTGAATTTTCTCTCGTCGTTAAGTAGATGGCCTTGCTGGGGGTTCGGTTCGATGCGGACTTTCACCTGGTTGGGATTGCGGGATCGAGATGAGGCGACACAGAGCTGGCCGTGCGAGAAGACCGCCGTCTGCAGATCGATTCCAACGTGATCGAACGTCTGTCCCTGCGCCTCCGTCGTTCATGCAGGGGGCGCGTAGGTTTGCAGCGCCCCCTGCATGAAAACGACGGAAAGTGCAGCGTTCATCACAGATCGATAAAATTGTGCGCTTATATAAGAGATTTTAAGTGAAATGATACATAGAATAAATCGCATTTTTTAATTCGAACATGTTTTTCATCTCATAGGTTCACTGACCCCTGCATCCACCAGAGGCCGATACAATAAAAATATAACAATTGTTGATTTTTTTTTATCGAATTGTGACCCTAAAACGTGACAACTCACACAATCTTCAGTTGCTGAATGTCACACTGAAAAGGTTTCGCTATTCAGTTATTCAAACTCTCGCCTGCAAGGTATAATACATTCAGACAGAAAAGCACACAGATCAGCAGGCAAGCATCCAACTCCACCCAACGATTCATCATTCCTGGTATCCAGACACCCCACTGCATGTACAGTACAATGCAAATGCAAGATAATGCACAGAAGACACTGCATTCATGGACTGGGGACTGATCAATATCAGCCAGTGGATTACGAACAATCCACGCTGCATGCACCCCCATCTCATTAGAGAAGCCAAGCAGATTGAAAGCTGGCGACGTAGAGTACGGTTACTTGTAAATGCTACCTCAAATGTCCAGGTGTAGTAAGCTTTGGCTGCGACGTGGCCAAGAGATGGCTTTGCAGGTGATGTCTACTTGAACTTATTTTGAGCGTTATCCCCTCGTGTGTGGGGTTCTCTCTCCAGTGTCCTCCCAAAAGCCAAACACGCGTGCTTGTAAATGGCCCAACATCCCAATCACAGGAGGCCTCTGGCATTGCGGTGAGGAGGGTGTGTGTGGGGCGTGCATACGAGTCGAGTGCCAATTCCGAATCTAATCCGAAATTCAGCTGAGCCCGCACATTTCAAACTGAATCGGCATTTTCGTCACTGTCGCATTGATGTAATCGCCAGGAAAGCGAAACGCCTCTTATCTGTGACGGGTCTGAAAACTCAAATGTCTTATCTTGAGCCATAACTCAATCCAAAAATAGGCCGTTGTCCTAATGTGTCCCCGGTTTTTAATCGACAAGTGTAACGCTGGAGTGCACGTAACGGTCGTATTGTGAGGCTCCCTTTGTGTGCGCGTGTTTTGGAATTGTACCCAAGTGTTCTTCGGCAGGATGTCCGACGTTTCGCTCCTCGTGTTGGGAGCTTCTTTAAGAACACTGCGCTATGAACCATTCCAACCGAGTTTGATGCCCGGTCAGGGCTAATGTCAGTGGTGGATGATAACTTTGAACTATTGAGTATTTTTTAAATCTCATGTTTTTCCGGCCGATAATATTGTTCTGTTATGATGGGGGTTCTCGTCATTTAGAGATATGACCAGTCCTTGATCAACCCGACTTCAGCATCCCTCACTGACCAGCGTGGTGAAGTATGGTCAAACAACCCGCATGAGTGACACAGAGGGCTGCAAATGGATAGCATCAAAACAATTACGGTAGTATTATACACCTTAAGTTACCTTTACATTTGCCCCCGATAAAAATGTACAATTCGATCTATGGAGACTGTATTATTATGTTTTTAAATCCTTTATATTAAGTTCACTTGCTTGCTTGCTTGCGCGCTTACGACCGTGCAAATCTTTCGGTCGTTTTTTAACCCACTTCCCGTGATCCAATCGAGCTGACATTTTGCACACAGACTCGTTGTGCGTGACAATTTATTTTCGTGAAAATGTTTTTCCAAAATGTTCCACTTTTTAGGAATTTTTTTTTTCATATTTTATTTAAAATACCAATGTGATCAAAATGAAACTCTTACTCAAGAAAAACAGAAATGAATAATAAAATAAAACCGATGCCACGCATATAAAGGATTTATAGTGTCAATAAAGGATTTATAGCATCAATTTACGAATTGATATTATAGTACGGTACAATACCAGTGTTCAATGGATCGATGCATAAGTTGCAACACATACTCTTTGGTTCTTTCGGTAAAGTCACGTAGGTGAAAATAATAAAATAAAAATGAAATCTAAAAAATCTAAATGAAAACAACTACAAATTTAGTTGTTTTCATTTTATTTATAGAACCAAATAGTATGGGTCATTGCAGTCACGAAAACTTCAAATCTAGAAGTTGCAACACCCCTAATGCACACGTCACAATCTACACCTGAAAGCACGTGGTGCGGTCATTGATAACCGTGTATGAAAGTCGAGTACATGTACATCAGACCTTTGTTAATCCACTGCTGGATGAGGGCCTCCCAAACACCGTGAGGATCGTGGATGTTACATGACCATACTTCACCACGCTGGTCCAGTGCTGGTTGGTGAAACGTGTAGCGGGAGCATATCGGTATCGTACAACAACTGATTTTGTTTCACTGCACACAAGCCCCTTCTGCCCCTCCCCCCACGGCAGTAGCCTATAACAAATAACTTTTTTTATGCACAGGTACAATGAAGGGGCATTGCCCGAAACGTCGCCCTATCACATTTAGTTTATTTTACGGCCACAGTGTCATTGACGAATGTGGTGAGTTTTTAGTTGTTGTCGCTGTTGTATTTCGTACGGGTTGGTAAAATCCCCCGTCCGAGAAATAGAGTAATATAATCCAGGCTGAACGCCTGCTTAGCTTGGGGTGGGGATGGGGGAGGAAAGGAAGAAGCACAAACAAATCGAGAAGAAGAAAAAAACCGAAAGGATAAACAGCGACCGTCGTGATTGGAACCGGGTCCGCTCCGGATAAGTTGGACAGCTCCTGCGAGTGGCAGAGAAGATCCGGCTCTAACACACACACGCGGAACACACTGCAACACACACTCACACTGCAACACACACACCACAGTGTAACACACACACACGGAACACACACACAGAACACAGTGCAACACACACACGGATCACACACACACAGAACACAGTGCAACACACACACACACGGAACACAGTGTAACACACACACACGGAACACACACACAGAACACAGTGCAACACACACAAACACACGGATCACACACACACAGAACACAGTGCAACACACACACACACACGGAACACAGTGTAACACACACACAGTGCAACATATACACACGGAACACAGTGCAACACACACACACACGTAACACGCACACACGGAACACAGTGCAACACACACACAGACGGAACACACACACACAGAACACAGTGCAACACACACACACGGAACACACACACACTCACACTGCAACACACACACACGGAACACAGTGTAACACACACACAGTGCAACATATACACACGGAACACAGTGCAACACACACACACACGTAACACGCACACACGGAACACAGTGCAACACACACACACACGGAACACACACACACAGAACACAGTGCAACACACACACACGGAACACACACACACTCACACTGCAACACACACACACAGAACACAGTGCAACACACACACACGGAACACACACACACACTCACACTGCAACACACACACACACGGAGCACAGTGCAACACACACACGCGACCATCACCACCACTACCGCCGCTGCGTTGTAAAGGCCGCTGCTGCTGCTGCTATTGACTGTGATGCCGTTCGCGAGACGTAGGAAGGTGCATCTCAGGCATCCGCTGTGGTGTTGAGAAGGTAATGATGGTGGTGATGATGTGGTGATGATGATGATGATGCATCGTGAATTATCTCGTGTGGTTATGTTAATAAGCCGGCATCGAGACGAAAAGGATTTCCGGATAGTGTCCCGACACCTGCTGGTTTCCTCTCCGCGTGTTCGCACATCTTATGTTTAATATATATACAGTATTATCATCATCATATCGACATCGTTTATTGTTACTGTGCTACGCCGCTGCTGGGACAACAAATCTGCATTGACCAGCGTGGTGAAGTATGGACGTGCACTGTACCACCCCCCTCCCCATCGTCTTAACAGCAGTGGGTTGACAAGGGTGGAATCGTTCACTCGTGTTACACATCGCATACATTGCACCGTGTGTGATGATGATGATGATGATACGATTTGTCCATTGTTTAAAGGGTGTGCGTTGTGTCCAGGCTTCCGGATACATTTCATCCACCCAACATGTGTACGGCACGCGATGTGATTGCGTGACCGTGTGTATAACATGCGTGTAACATGCGTGTGACATGTGCGGGGGCTATGTTCGGCAGCACGTGTGCTGTGTAGATTGTAGGATGTGATTATGTCCGGTGTGAAGTACTGTAAATGTAATGTGTGTATGTGGGTAGTTCTAACATGTCTACGTTGTATCCGTGACAACGTGCGGAGAAGATGTGACGCTTGTGTATGTATATGTGGATGTGATGTACGCTTAGTATCGTGTTACGAATACAATTTGCATATATAATGGATTTATAACAACACTGATTATGTCTGCATGACGCTGTTCAACATCACCATCGTTAAATGTGCGCGTGTACCACGGAATATGCGTGTCATGTATGTCACACGTGTACTGTTTATGATAACATGTACATGGCATGTACATAGCATGTACATGTTATCATGTGTTTCAGCATGTACTGCTACGCCTTGCAGTATTTTTTTTACACTGCTGTCTCACAGAGACCACGTGATACCCCCCCCCCCCTATCTCACAGCAGAGGTCGCAAACGGGGTTTGATTCCTTACCCGTACCCGGCCGCACCAGGGTCGCAAACGGGTACCCGTACCCGGCCGTACCCGTACCCTACCCGTGTACCCGGCCGGTGTACACGGGTAGGGTACGGGTATCGGGTACCTGATTGCGACCTCTGGGATGAAGCCATGTTGCAGGCGCGGGTGGGTTGATTCTAGGAACTTGAATTGTGAGAAGAGACAAGACGTTGGGAAATGAGTGACAAACAGTTGCTCACCAGTGACTCACGGCCTACCCGTACCCGGCCGCACCAGGGTCGCAAATGGGTACCCGTACCCATACCCGGCTGGGTACGGGTAGCCGGGTATCGGGTAGGGTACGGGTATCGGGTACCCGGTTGCGACCTCTGTCTCACAGAGCCCGCATGGATCATTCCTCTATCTAAGAGACCTTGACTACAACAATAACGGTTGACACGACACAGAAGATCAATGTTGGGTAATTGTGCGAACGGAATCGCAGCACGTTCGATCCACGCCACAGGTTAGTGCGGATGTGACGGCGTTGAGTCCGGAGGCTTCTTTTGACACCTGCACTGGAGCCCTCTGGGTGCTCCTCCTGTCACTTGAACACGGTGTGAAGTGGCAATTCAGGTGCTGGGAAAAACTTTGCCCGACGTCTTTGCCACCACAGCTTGGCGTCAAATCGGTGGCGAGGGGCGGTGGTGGTTTGTTGTAAATTGCCGACCCTCCCCTACTGGACGTCTGTGAAAAAAGAGCTTCTTCGTCACCCATCAAACGCCTCTCGTCTAAATAAAGATTCTTATTTTGATCAATGTCACCGGGAGCCACGGCGGTAGTGTTGGCCTCGGCGCACCAGAGATAATTCTCACAAAGAGATTCGGCCCGTCGAGCGTCGACCAAACGAGTTCCGCCCGACCGGGTCCACCCAGCTGTAGGATTCCCTGCTCCAAAGCCACGTCACTCGAATGCGAGGGGTCCCCCCCCTGAGTCCTGTACAGCACCCACGTCGAGCCAGCCAGCGGAGCAAGCGAGGCGGCTCCCGTGGGCAGACGCTCACCCAGCAGGCTTCTCGAAGGTGGCGTCGGTGAACGTGAGCCTTCGATCCGGCGCTACGGCGAGGAAGGGCCCGAGTTCACGTCCGCTCCGCCGTACCGAGAGCCTCTGGTCCGGCTCTGGCGCCATTTGGCTGGGCGGAACACACGCGACTGTGGGGGGTGGACACCGTGCTGCTGCTCGTGCTCGGCTGAAGTCGCCGCCTTCCTGAATAGTCCTCGACGATGATCTGAGCACCCTCCATTGGGGTAGTCTCGAGGCTGGCAAAGTCACAGGCTTGGCCTGCTAGACTAATGCGTATCTGGGACGTTGTGGCGGGCGAGTCATTGGTGAAGATGTTGAAAAGCTTTGGGGCAGACCCCCCCCCCCCCTCGAGGCAAATTGTCCTCATGTGCCCTGCAAAGAGGTGATCTTGATCGCCGATGTGCACTTGGGCACAACGATCCTACTCGTGAGCACGGCAGGGCTCTTGGCAACTTTGGTCACGAGACCGCTTGTGGCCAGACTGCTGGATGAAGGCCACCGCACGCAACGTCCGTCACGACGGGGATCGTTTGGCCACATTTCACCGTGGTGGTGGTGGTCGGTGTGGGTTGTTGAAAGGGCGCGAGGTGGTGGGCGACTGGGCCTCTGGACCAGTCGGCTCTCCGCTCGTGTTGACCGTCGCCGGTCGTTGAGTTTGCAGCATAGTGCACTAAACATTTTCTCCACGTGTAGTATATATACAACATGTGATGGGGCAAATGGTTAGTGCACCATAGTGCATGGACGTGCAAATGTGACTTGTCGTGTATTTGAGTACGGTGCGTGACAGCACGTATGTTTTATATGCACGGATGTATGAATGGCACTGCGTGCACACTCTACAACGGGTTAGGTATGCAGCGTGTGATTTACGTGTGTATGCCATGTGTGCCGTTATACAATGTGTCGATGTATAGAGGACTTCGTTACTGTCGGGATGCTGTGGAACAGGGCGAATATATTCGAGCCACGTCCAAATCGACTCGATTTCAGCGGAGCTGGTGATCCACCAAGAGGATTTGTGTCCCTCACTCCTGAAAGATAGTTGGGAATCAGCAGTGCAGAGAAACTTTCTTATCTGTGACGCCCCCCCCCCCCCCTTATCAACGACTCTCTCTTATCTATGGCCACAAAGTGATCGACAAAAAACTTCTGTGATTCGCCATCCGATAAACAGCAACGCACCGCACTACGGATCTGGTGAGCTGATTCGATTCCCGACCACGGCTAACCTCAGTGATTTCTGAACACATTCCTGGCCCTCTCCTAGGTCGACTCGGCCTTAATTGAGTATCTGTTAGAGTTGAGTAAACATCAGCGCTATGGTGGACACAAGGCCGGTCAGGCGGGGTGCTGGTCACATCTCCTCTTGCGCCATACCGGCCTTCATCGGTGTTTGCTTTAAGCATTTACCGGAAAAGTCATTAAAGGGTTTGTTGGGGATGTTTGTCTTTGACCTGGGCGTGGTGCTGGCGACCCGTCCCCTCGTGTGCCATGCGGCCTTCATAGGTGCTTGCTAGCCGCACTTGCCCCAATAGTGTGTTCAAGCCATGGGGGGGGGGGGCATCTCTGTCTTTATTTGTTGTCTTTGTTTAGCTTCGAGGGGAGTAGGAGTGAAGCAGTTAGCGGGCTGCACTATGAACCCAGCGAGCCGAGTTTGATTCCCACTCACGGCCAACATCGGTGATGAATATTTGTAGCAGTCTTGGGCCTCCCCTCAGCCTAAAATGTGCACCTGATGCAGTGTGTAAACATCTCCACGAGGGAGACAAAGACGGGCAGGCGTGGCGTTTTTGCCACCCACCCCCTCGTGTGCCGTGCCAGCCTGGATAGGCGCCCGTATAGCCGATGCAGGCTGTTAGCATAATTATGATGACGATAGCAGCTGCATATCCCACAGGACCAACTTGTCTTTGTTGAGTTGTTTATGGGTTTCAGGAGAATTCAACGGTGACATGTCACAGGTGTTTTCCAGCATAGCTATGAAACTCAATATGTGTCTGTGGAATTGTTTGGGTTGCCCTTTCTCAGGTCAGGTCACGGTGGGGGGCAGGGGGGCGCATTGACAATGGCGAGCCCCTCCCAGGCTCCTGAGTTGAGCCGCAACTCCGCCAACGTCGCGGCGTCTCGGCCGGCCGTCACCGCGGCTTCCGCCGTCGTCACCAAGCACCGGCGTTGCGGCTCCGAGTCGCTCGTCTGGGACATGCAGGCCGCGGGGGGCTGGCGGCCCCCCGCCGCCGCCGCCGCCGCGGGCGATGCGAACTCTCGGGGGTCCGCCGAGACGGCCCCCCAACCCGACAGCCCGCGGCTGAGCACGCGGCTCAGCTCGGGGCGAGGCTGCCCCAGCGTGGAATTCTCGGTGAGGCCTCGGAGCGCGTCTCTGTCGGCTCGCGGAGGGCAAGGCCCGGGGCAGGGCCCTGAGGGAGAAGCGAGCCCCTTCACGCCGACGATCGTCGGCTACGAAGTGACGGAGGAGAGGGCCAAGTTTACAGTAAGTCGTCCTCGACCGTTTTCTTGAGAGAGAGAGAGGGTACCGGGACGTGGAAAGATGGGAGCCAAACAGTGAATTTTGTTCCACGCGATGTTGTTGAGCGATGTCGCGTGGTTAATAAAATTGCTCTGAGTTGTTTAATATCAGTACGGGTGCAATATAAATGCAAATATTATTGTCATATTCTGATGGGTGTCTGGGTTGATTCTGTTTTTCCGACACTATTTACGCATTCCAGAGCCAATGATTGTAATCACCATCCATGTATAATAAAGTAGAGACAGGGAGGCTTATTCCTTGCCTTCTCCTGTCACCTAGGTGGTCTAGGCCCAGGAGCCAGGCAGAGGGCCTTGGCAAAAAAAACCTGATCAGGCTATGATTAAAAATATATCCCTGTATCTTAAAAAAATTCAAATACCAATGCATGTGTTCAACAAATAATGGATTTTTTCAGGCACGATTCGATATGTATATCGTGCGTGGAGGAATTTTACTTACATCGAAGAATCTATGCGGTGTTGCACACGTATTGGACACTAATCATAACAACATCTGTAAGAAAAATTACCAACTCGGGATGGATCAGGTCAGGGTTTATTAGGTGTCTACATTATGCTCTGCCAAAAACTACTGGACCGATCACGAAGCGAATGACGATCACTGGAAAGGTACTGATTTAATTAAATTCGGACATGAACGTGTCTTGACAGGTCTGACCTGCCTCTGACCCTGAAATGTTATATTTTTATAAAGCATAATATAATTTAGCAGCATACTTTGGGTTGTCATTACCGAGTAAGTGACAATAGCTCGGCTTGTTTAAATCTACATTCATATAAATACGTAGAGTGACTTACCATTTGGAAAAAAAACTGAATTATGACTCTTTAACAACCACGACTCTGCACTGCACGCTGTGATTTACACTTTTTTTTCATAGTCGTAACCTTTTTCTAACGGTCTGTAATTGGGTGGAATCTGTAACATGTAGCTCTACTTCGACCACCTATGATTTATTTACTGAACCACGAATGTATTTATATTGCAAAAGTTAATTTACAGTCCTTTGTCAAGCCACTTCTGGATGAATGCATCCCTACTTCCTTTCGGCCAGCGGTGGGGAGAAGGGGGGGGGTGTCTGTGGGGTGTCTGACCATGGTCAGTGCGGGTTGGTAAAGGGGGGGGGGAGCCCAGGACTGGTTTAGACTTTTAAGCGTGGCCAGCGATCGAACTGAAGTCACCAGGTTCCCATAAAACGTAAGGGACATGGCAACATTTTTTTTATGTTCACGAGTAGACCGCTGTTTTTTTTTGTGGGAAAGCATCTACTGGCACTTTTCTTTTCTTTTTTGCAAAATCGAATTTAAACGCGGTCGTGCAAGCGTGCCGGCACAGGGGTGATCTCCTGTTGCCGTTTAAACCCAGCACAAGTGGATGAGGCACGATGTCGGTTTATTACTTGATTGTTATTTCGACAGCGTGTTTTTTCATGCATGCTAATTGTAAGTTTCGGGGGGGGGAGAGAGAATGACAGACGAAAATAACTGGGGCTGTGATTACGCTCTGTCTTGATTCTGAGGGATGATTCTTCAGCCGTCGTTGGCTTCCGTCCATTTTAATTACGGCTTCGCGAATGTGCCACGAGGAGTGTGATCCAGGACTCGTGATGACGCTCCTGCAATTTGTTTCGCACCTTGTCAATCGGAGCTGAGAATGTGAAGGTTTGGAACAGAGGAAGGAAACTTGAGTGGTAATGCGGATAATGTAGGGATTGGTGGAGCAGGGGGGCACGAGGGAGGGAGAGAGGGAGGCCACACTGCATTAGCAGGGTGGGTTGTTTTTTTACATACTACAAAAAAAACACTTTGGAAGAGCTGAGGGGGAAGGTCAACCTCTTTGGCCAGAGTAATATCCATTCACTTTACAGACCTACAAGTGACGGAGCTGGACTTTTTAACAAAGCAACTATAAAATAAGCTTCTCGATTGTGGGCCCGTGCAGAGGGTGCAGGGCATTTCATGTACGGAGAGAGGGTAAGAAAATTGGCAGTTTAGAATAAAAATTGGGCAGAAAGCATTGCAGGTATAACAACAACAATAAGTTTCACACGCTGAACACTAATGAATTATGAATAAATAGAAAAGCCCGAGTAAAACCATCAGCATCCACTTCATTAATATTCCCCCTCACAAATTATTAAAATGGCCACGGCTATAGCAACAACTGGACCATATATTATTTGGTTTTCATCGTGACTGCTGGTTACTTTTAACGGCTTAATACCAATACATTATTAACTTAATCAGATTTTAATGCCAAAACGAGCCGTGTCGCTTAATCAACATTGTGCTTGAAAGTTCTTTTTAAAATGGTGGACAAATCCGTGCAGTATAAGTGCATTTACGAGTTATGCAACATGCACGAGGTCGATGCCTTGGCCCGTTATTTATTTACACTCTCTGGACAACTCACACATTCGAGCGGACGCCAGCTAATTTCACTCTCAGGAATTTGAGCACACATCCCTCAAAAAGTACATATTACGTATTAATACGGATTATAAATTATTTTAAAAAACTACCCTTGCCCGAGGCCGCTTTTGACTATATTTAGAGCCATTAGAAATCCTTGTTGCAGTTTTTTTTCCTCGGTTCTGGCGTGTTTCAATCAAGTCGGCACATGTAGCGAGCCGTTTCTATTTTTAAATTTTTTATATTAAGTTCGCTTGCTTGCTTGCTTGCGCGCTTACGACCGTGCAAATCTTTCGGTCGTTTTTTAACCCACTTCCCGTGATCCAATCGTGCTGACATTTTGCACACAGACTCGTTGTGCGTGACAATTTATTTTCGTGAAATTTTTTTTCCAAAATGTTACACTTTTTAGGAAAAAAAAATTATATTTAATTACCAATTGCTTAATGGTGGCAGGCAATCATCTGACCCATAGGTGGCAGCCATCTCAAGCCAGAGGACGAGAGGACTCTAGCCACCCGTTTCAAAGACCAATGTGGGCTGGGTTGTGGCCCATTGAACACGCATATAAAGGATTTATAGTGAAAAACTTTTTACGATCTGAACCCAATTGTGATGAACACTTTTTTCTTTTCAAATTCCTCCGGCGAGCAATCGGCACAACTGGTCACAAATCCCGAGCCTCTCTCCACAAGTCGGAAATCAACTCGTCGTGTGCATACGGCCAGTAGTGTAGCTCAATGTCCATTCAGCCGTCCGACCAACCTGCCAGCAATACCGCAGTGTGTGCCATTGGGAAATAGCTGAAACTGATTTTAGAGTCGACATGACCTCTGATTAACCTAAAATTAAGCCCAGGGCCGCCACTAGATTCTTCTTCTCACCTACAAGGCCCTCGGTGATGCTGCTCCCTCATATGTGCAGGATCTCCTTTGCCCCATTTTTTTCCAACGAGAGTATGTCGGTCTTCCGAGCCAGGCCTGTTGAGTGTTCTGAGGTCGCCGCCTCTGTACGGTGACGGCTGACCAGCGGGGCTTGTCTCCCGTGGCCCCCAGGCTTTGGAAGTCACCTCCACTGGACGTTTGCTCCGCTGACTCCCCTCCCCTCCCCCTCACTTTATTCAAATCGCACCTTAAAATCCAACTTATTTTTAAGGGCTTTTTATACTTCTCGAATCCTTTGTTTTGGGGTTGGATGTTTATTGGTGTGTGCCTGCGTGTGTATATTTTGTACAGCGCCTTGTGATCTCCGGGTGAAATGCACTTTATGAGTGAAAATTATGATTGTGATGATGATTATAACGAGGTAGACGCTGACGTGGGGCCCTGCGCAACGAAATGTACCGTTGGCCTAACCGAGTTGACCGTGCCTGAGGGATGTATCCCCACAATGGTGGCCCACACAAGACCTCTGCTGCCTCCCTCCTCGATTTGAGAGGAGCTGTGAACCCAGCCCGATCAAGCCTGTGGCCAAACAACCTGGATGGTACCCAATCGCATCAGTTCTGTCGAGCTAAGCAGGTTGGCGCTTGGATAGCGCTACTAGACATGTACGACATGTCTAGTAGGCTGCCGCCTTGGCTACTTTGTGGGCAGCGTAGGATGGTGCAACAACATCCATTGTTGTGCTGTAGTTCCGTGCCACGTTACCTCTGCTGTTTTTTTTATTTTTTATCTTTCGAGCCAGCTGTCAAGTTTTATGCAAAGCCACGGGGCCCACTTTCCACGCAGGAAACCTGAGAGCACAGACGTAGATAATTAATGTCTCCGCACATCCACCAACTGGCACCGATGAGCACGGTGAAATGGTCAAATAATCCCCCACAACCAGCGCACCTCATCCAGCAGTAGATTGACACAGAGGGCTGTTCATGGCCATGGTCTCTCAGAGAGTCTGGCTTCCTGCAGTCGTGGCTAACAGACCAGTAACACGTCAGGTAAATTGATTCACAGTGCAGATCTTCCAATTAGTACACCCACAAAACTAGATAATGAGGTGGGAATATCTGTGGTCGCAATTGTCTGGAGGTGATGATAATGCACGAATATTATACCATCAATCAGTGGTTCTCAACCTTACCAGAATGACAGACCACTGTCTTGCCCTCTGCGTATAATCCACAGACCATGATGCACCAGTCCCGCATTTTTTTAATGAAATCTAAATGAAAACTAAATTGTGGCATATTCGACAGTTTCCGAGGATCGTTTTCCTGCGACCTTGCCCGAGCGCGCATTACGCAGCGCATCGTCGGAGGGAGCAACTCGTGCACCGCCGACGAGCGCAACTCCCCCCGTGCAAACTTTTCGCGTTTGCCCGTCCGATGGAGAGACCCGAAGCGTGCGGCTGCTCATTGTAGGTCTCGTGCCCCCAAGGCGCAGTCCCACGCGCGCGGTGCACGGTGAGCTACGGCGAGCAGCCGTGCGGAGGAGAGCCTGATGTATTATTGATCGACGGTGCATAATGCAAGAGCGCGCTCGCGAAGGGGACGGCGAAAAAGCTCCCAGAAAACGTTGCACGAGATACCGC